CAGACTGAAACTGCAGGCTTTAATTTATCCAGTCCTGCAGGCATTTGACTTCAATACACCTTCTTATCAGCAGAACATGAATATGCCTGTTCTTCCTCGTTATGTCATGATCAACTATTGGATAGATTATTTCAATGGTAACTATGACTTGGCTCACTCACTGCTGATTAACAACCACACTGCTCTTGATGTTAGCCAAGCTCTCTCCTTCAGAGGACACCTGAACTGGACATCTCTATTGCCTTCATCATTCAAAAAGAACTACAAGCCTGTAATACAAACCAGTGGCAAGGCTGAAATCATCCAGGAGATACCGGCACTGCTTGATGTACGAGCAGCCCCACTCCTTGCAGACAATGAAACTCTGCAGCTGCAGCCAAAGACTTACGTCCTGACCTGTGAGAATGATGTCCTGCGAGATGATGGGGTGATGTATGCCAAGCGCTTGGAGAATGCCGGCGTGGAGGTCACACTCGATCACTTCGATGACTGCTTTCATGGCTGTATGATATTCACCATTTGGCCTACTGATTTCTCTGCAGGCATTCAGACCAGGAACAGCTATATAAAATGGCTGGATGAAAATCTCTGAAGACAGCATCTCTCTAGAAGACACAGGGTGCAAAACTCTGGTGTCCCTGCAAAAGAGCAAATGATTAATAAGTGCACTTTTCCAAATTCTGACACCATCGTTCAGCTGCAGCTGCTGGGGGTACAGACCACTAACTACAGCATTTGCTAGCTCATTTGGCCTTACCCAGAAAAGTAATTTGAGAAATACTTTTTCAAACTTGGATTTTTTTTACCTTCTTTCACACGTCTATTGCCAAACAAAGAAATGATGAGCAGGGAGATCAGCACTCCTGTAGCATTCTTAATTGGCTGCAACTTTCAAGCGTTCACCCCTAATTAGGCACAAAGGCGCCATTTTACAAATGATGTGAGATAAAGCCAAACAGCTACATCTACATCTGAATATGTAAAAATGGGAGCTAATTTCAACAGTGTGGAGCATCTGATGTCAAAGAAAGAGTGAGCCTCACCTTTGACAGCAGAGCCATGCATCTGAATGTCGAGCAGGGATTTAAGTGTTGGCTTTTAGGCACATAGACAAATGGCTAGTTTAAATTTAAAAAAAAAAAACTCTTCTGGGCAGTTAGGATGATGCTAGGCAAGTCTTTTAGCCAGACATGCAATTCAGCTTTGGAATTTGGTCTTTATTGTCTTTTAGTTATTTATGTTTTATAAAAGCACAGGACTAATATATTTTCAATGAAAGTATTATAGTATACATACAAATATGCATACGATACAACATACGATAAAATACTCTATCAGCAAAGTCCAGATTGCTCATGTGAGTGAGCTTCAAAGCTGCCTACGTATTTGGCTAAAGAATGTGACTTGATCTGTGTTTAAAGCCTCAGCTGTATGACCTCCTTACAGAAATACTGTGCTTACTAAAATTAATCTGCTGTGTGGTTTGCACTAATGTTTATAATTAATAGTAGAAGTTTTTGTTCATTGGCTTTTCTTTTGTGCTCATAGTGTTTATTATAGTTCATCCTTCTTTGAAGGAGGGAAGCAAGCAAATAGGAGTGGGCTCTTAATATATAGGGAAGATTTAAATCTGAGCTCTGCAGCTAAACTTTGTCTTGCAGACTGACCCAAAACACTAGGTGAGATGATCTCACTAGTGTGCACAAGCATCTACGGTTTGAGCCAGTCTGTAAAATTCAGACAGGCAGGGCAGGGAAATGAAACTGTGTATTACAGTATATATTGTCAAGGATGCTTGCTGCATCCTTGGGTTGTGTCAAAAGCCCAGTGTTTCTAGGTAAAGAGGAGAGAATAGCTGCCCCATGACTAAACTAACAGATTAAATTCATCCTCAGCTTTACTACAGACTTCCTGTGGGACCCCAGGAGAACAATTTAATCTCCTTATGCCCCGCTTTGTTCTTCTGCAAGAGGAGGAGTAGTATTTTCATACCGCACAAAGGAGCTGTGAAGCTGAATTCACAGGCGTTGGTGAAGCACATGGATGTGATGGTGACTGACAGGCACTGAACTGCTCCTGTAGCTTTTGACTTTCCATCTTTCTCTGATAGCTGTCAGAGCAGCCTACCCCAAGACAGGTGGTGCTGCAAGGCCTGAGTTAAACCATCTCTGTCCTGGCTCCTATCAAAGTACCATAAGCTGAGGTTTTTTGCCTGTTGGCAGATCATGACAAAAGCAATTTCATTAGAGTGTTTCTTATGGCAGGATTCTGGAAAGTTCATTAAACAAACAAACAAACAAACCCAGGGTACTGGTAGATCAAACTGCCTTCTGTCATTTAAAGTATACACAGAACAGTCCACTTTCACTGGTGTTTAAATTATATGAGAGAATGACTTTGCTGAATCGTTGCTTCCTAGAAATATTGGGTTGTTAATGTGGCTGTATGTATTAAGAAAAATGAGACAAGGCCTCAATGTACACTCAGTCATGCAGGCTGAAACTTATTTCTGAGCATAGGTCTACAGGGAGATGTCAAGGCAAAGCTCTTTTCAACAGTGGCCCAGATTCTTCTTCCACATAACTCATTACAAAGACTTAGTGCAATTAGAGCAGCCAAGTGGCAGTCTGAATCAGAATAAATTTTGGTCAAGATATCCAATTAATACTGCAGAAGAATTCAAACTTTTTGTCTGGATTTAAACCCTTTTTTCCTCCTTTCCTCGTAAATGCAATTTCAGTAGATTTAATTTACACTTAAACCAGACAGCAAACAAAGTTAAGTCCATTCAAAAGACAAATTACTGATCTGTCATTTTCTCCTGTATGGAGACAGCTCCCTTTACTTGCCTTTAAACCATGATTTCAATAGTTACACTTTGTTGTGGCTTCTTCCTTGCTTTCCCACTTAAAGAGTAAACCCAGAAAAGATGTAATTTATATCTACCTGCTGTCATTAAAAGATAGTAGTAAATGTAGTACTGGAAAAGAAAGTGGCTCATCTGCTTATAAACTCTATAATAATTAAGTTTGCCTGACAGCTTTCTGCAAAGCTTTAGATCAGTATTTGTTTATAGCTAAGTTATAAATATCTGCTATGAAGCTATAATATAATTGCTGCTGGCTTATTTTTTTTTAACTGCAATGAAATGGAAAGCTGGAATATATATATTCATAGAGTTGGTTGTAAAGTTCCTTCATGCACTGAAGCACATTAAAGTCTTGGCACAAGAAATGGTAGTAAGTATATAACTGGACTGAATGTTTACTAAATCATCACCAGCTTGACATGACATCCAGGATCTCAGGACAACTTGGATGCACTGTCACAGTATTAACTAGTTCCATCAGAATATCTTGACTACTTTTATCTTGACTACTTTTATTTAGTTATATGGTTTAAATATGTGATAGCTGCAAAGATATGTGATGAATCCTATAACATATAAAGAAAGGTCTGAGTTTCAGCTCTAAAAAGACCTTTTAGTACATAACTGCACAAGACACTTGATTAAAATTCAGTGTAAACCTTGAAGGTAGTCCAAATGCAGCTTTCCTCCTACTTTGCTTTGTTCTCCTTCTCACCAAGTCTTGGTGCCCGAAGTTGAAAGTTCAGTTGTTTCCAGCTTAGCTGCTGCAAGCTCCTAGAAACTGAGCAGTAACTCAGACAAGAACTCAGCTGTGGCCAGCAGGCATACTTACAGAGAGCTGATGCCTGATAGCAAGAGATTAGGAGTAATGCATGTTCCAACAGCTCAGTTTGTTCATGTGTTTAGTCCTGTCTCCTGAAGTGCTTCCTCGCCTGCACCTAGAACCTTCATTCCTTGGTTATTTCACAAAGGAGTTTAGGGCACTTTGCACATTGTAGGATCAGACCAAGTACTTGTAACAATATTTCACCTGTGCATAGTAAGAAGTCAGCCTTCTAAAAGAAGATACTCAGTAAGTATGTCTACTTATCTTCATTAAATCAGTATGACTAGCTACTTTTTGTAGATAGCTTTGTTTTCCCCTCCTAAAATTAGACTTCATCTGCCCATTGCAAGACTGCCTTGTTTCTGATGGCCATCAAAGCATTCAAATGTAACCTTTTAAATAAAAAAAAACAGCCAAACTCAAATAACAGAACCTATAGTCATTTGTATCCTGCTTTGATAGATCTGGGAACTATTAGCAGGTCAGTATTTTGGCCAATAGTCTCAGGAATAAATAGAGGTTTTGTCTCCCTAGTTTAACACCTCTTAAAGGATGTGTGTCCAGCATTTCTTAAAGCCCAAACCTGTTTAAGGATGTTTCATGATGCATAAAAGTTACAGATAAGTTGAGTTTCTTAACCTTCATCTAAGTAATTCTAAAACTGCATCCCTAGCCAAAGCATAAAGGCTATTGTGGGTTTAAATCTCCACAAACGAAAAAGAAATGCTTTTTCTTTACAATATTATTTTGTAGTGTTTGTTCCTCAATTTTTTTTTAATCTCATACCAAACTTTATTAAAAACCTTTACAAATAAAAATATTAGAAGTAGATAAACCTCCGTTAAACTTTTTAAGCTGCTATGATCTGCCACAATGATGTTGTTAAAAAAAATAGCTATTTCAATGTTCTCTTATTTATGATGTTCAGAACCTGAAAGTACAACATACTTGGTGTGAATGCATTCATATCTCATGCATGACCATTTTTTTTGCTATTTTTCCCTGTGCAGGTGAAAGATCTTGTAAGATCTAATTAGAAAGTGTGATTGAGATGTGCTATCAAAATGAAGAACAAATAAATAAAGTGAAATATATCTGTGATTTTTTTTTTTTTTTTCCACAGGACCATGAGAAAATGATTTTATTTTCTGATGTGCAGCATTTCCAATTTGAGTTTTCACTTAGCAGAGGTCAGTGAAACAAAACAGGAGACCTTAGAGTTCCTGAAGAAATGTTGGAACCAAAGTCAAGGTGGTTATTTTCAAGGCAGGAAACCTTGCCTGTGTGTCTGTGGGCTGTGAGGGTGACCTCCTCTTACTTCATTTCTGCCAAATGTAATGGTGACCACACCTGCTGGTGTTGAATAGTGGACAATACCTGCACTAGTGCTGCTGTTCTCTTTCAAGATGGAGAGTGGAGCTCATGTTCTCCATTCTGATCTATAAAAATATTTTTATATGTTTATAAATCATGTCCATTTTTGAAATCTGTTTTAGCCAGTGAAAGTCCTAGTTCCGTTTTCATTCCTATGTGCCCTCCTTTCACATTCTTTCTGAACTGTTACCCACTTTCTTCCCTTTCTGTCTCATTTGTTAATGGTCATAGCAGCACAACTTTTGAAATACCTAAATGTGAGGCTTTGCCATTTTGTCCAGCAGGGTCCAGTGACTTTCACAGAATACAAAGCTTTTCTCCTGCTGAAAAAGTACTAGGCAAAAAAATCTTCAAAGGACTTACAAGCCTATTTTTGTCAGCAGGAGTCATACTTCTGCCTGTATTAAATGCATTAAAAACAGGCTGGGCCTCATAGAACAATTTTTCCAGTCATGCTTTCTTAGATTTAATAATAAGTGCCTGTGGAGGGCTTGGGAGGACCAGGACAGTGCCTCCCATGGCCAGGTACAGCTGCACATCTCATCCCATGCCACGTGGCGCTGCAAGAGGATGCACAGTGAGCACCCACTGCTGCCTGTGCTGCCCTTCCACCGGCACTGAGCTGCCACCCGAGGACTGACAAAGGGGCTGGCACAAAATTGTCAACAGCATCTTCAAATGGCATTTGATGAAGATGTGAGGCATCTCAATTCAAGCATTAATGTACTATAGATACAACACACTTCTTTTGCAGATACATGGTGCCGCTGAGTATTTATGCAAATAGGGCTGGCTGATGAAAAAACTCAGAAGAGCCAAGCTTAGAAACCGAGCCTGGTGCCAAGCACATCTCTGATTGCACTGAATGCCTCCATGGTGCTGGAGCTGTATTTCCCTGTTCCCACTGCAGCAGCCTACTACACACCTCCTACCCTCAATTGCACGACCGAAGCAGCAGTTTTATTTTGTTCATCTCCATGGGAAGCACAAATGTTCATGCTTTCATTTTTTTCTGGCACTAATCCAGTGGCATTTATTTCTTCTATAAGTGTTGTTTAAATTGTTAGTAGCACATCACTAATATAAGACTTAAGTTTTACCCCTAATATAAATTTAATAATTTTTCACAATGATTTTCTATAGCATTTTAAAGTGTTTATCAACTCTTCAAGAGGAAGACAGGCAAAAGAAAACAAAAAAAAAAAAAAAGAAACCCTGCAATAGCTCCTTTTAAACTGTTTTTTACAGAAACTCTAATGTAAATAACTCCTTGTGACTTTATATAAGCAAGAAAATACTAAATATTTCTATCACAACCACTTGTTCTTTTCTGAGGCACAACCTCTACAAAACCACAGCACTTCCCATCATAAGACATTCTAAGGATATAGGAGAGGCAGAGTTCATTAGAGAACATAAATATTAAGAGGTTTAAAACAACATTTCAAAATTTAAATTTAAAACAAGAATAATTGGGGTTACAGAAAACTACCTCTCCCACAAACACTGCCAATATTAGGACAGGTGTGGTACACGCAGTGCCATCAAGATGTGGGATTCAGAGTAGGGCAAAGGAATAAAGAAAGGGAATTTTTACTGTTAACCTAGTAATTTCATTACAATTGGAGAGGTTTTTAATTATGATAATTCACACTATAGACAGCAGAGGGAGCATGTTTCTAGAAACACACTGTAAAACCGAAAGCATTATTGTGGGAACTGCACCAAAACAGATGTGGCAACCCAGCCCCTGACTTGTGAATTCATGGATAGACATATGTAAAACTCATGCTAATTGGAAATTACCAAGATTTCTTGCAAAATACACAGATAACCTCATAACCTTTCCTCAGCATGAATCATTTTCAGTGCTTGGCATGCCATGAAGACTTTTTTCCGGTATTACCTGCTATTAGTTGACATTTTGCAAACCAGTTGGGGCATGTGTGGTTATTCAGGTCTCGCTGACAGTGTCTGTGCATGTTTCTAGTTTGCAAATCTAAAAGGGTGAGGAAGTGCACCAAGGGCAGGTCTGCCTTGCTGCACTGAGGGCATTGCTATGTAGTCATGGGCAGTTTTATTTTCAGGACTATCATCTCCACTGCCTTCATACAGCTCTGGCTTTATCAGTGATGGATTGCATGGAGGCATAGCAGCATCTCCAAAAATCTATGGAGAGCTGTGAGTGCCCCTGGAAATGGTTCCATTTTAACCCCTAGGGGTAATACCTGGAGAAGTGGGTCTATTACTTTGTGCCATGGCATTTCTGCTCTTTTAATGGTGCATAAAGCAACTCATTTGTAAGTAAAAGGCAGTTTTTACAGGCTTCTGATGCTACAAGGAGGAAAGGGCCTTTCTTAAAGAGCCCCGCTGGCAAAGCAGCCCTGACAGTGCTCTGCGGTCCATGGGAGCCAGTGTTACTTGCCACAGTCAGAAGTTGATGTTTGCATTATTTTAGTGATCAGATGAATTAACCTTTGATGTTTTCACCATCTGGCAGATGCACACACTCCACGCTGTTAGCTGCCATTGCATTTGCTGCTCCAGCACATTCATTCCTGGTGCAAATGTGCTGTGGGTTATGAAATCCTGCAAAGTAGAAACAGCTCAGCAAAGCAGCAGGATACATTTAGCATGACTGTATCTACTTAGGAGGGTTTTTTTCGTCCACCCAAAAATCCCCTGCAGAAAAGCATGAAAAGGCAGGAGTCTGAAAACTGCCTCACCTCCCCGCTGTAGCCTGAGAGGCTGGGTGCAAGGGGTCATGGCCTGTGCTGAGCAGTGGGACTCCAAAAACTTTTGTGTTTCCTTTTGCATTCCTATTTTTCATCACCATTTCCTCTGCAAAAGTGGAACAGAGCTTACCAGATTTTCAAAATATCATACCATTTGGGGGTGGCTAGTAGGTCGAGAGAGGTCCTCCTTCCCCTCTACTCTGCCCTGGTGAGACCCCATCTGGAATATTGTGTCCAGTTCTGGGCCCCTCAGTTCAAGAAGGACAGGGAGCTGCTGGAGAGAGTCCAGCGCAGGGCAACTAAGATGAGTAAGGGAGTGGAGCATCTCCCTTATGAGGAAAGACTGAGGGAGCTGGGTCTCTATAGTTTGGAGAAGAGGAGGCTGAGGGGTGACCTTATAAGTGTCTATAAATATATAAAGGGGGAGTGTCACGAGGATGGAGCCAGGCTCTACTCAGTGGCAAACAATGATAGGACAAGGGGTAATGGGTACAAACTGGAACACAAGAGGTTCCACTTAAACTTGAGAAGAAACTTCTTCTCAGTGAGGGTGACGGAACACTGGAACAGGCTCCCCAGGGAGGTTGTGGAGTCTCCTTCCCTGGAGACATTCAAAACCCGCCTGGACACATTCCTGTGTAACCTTATCTAGGTGTTCCTGCTCCGGCAGGGGGATTGGACTAGATGATCTTTCGAGGTCCCTTCCAGTCTCTAGCATACTGTGATACTGTGATACCATTACATTTCAAACCCGGCTTTTGATTGTCTGTGTGGATAGCCAAGATGCTATTTGTTATTTTACAGTCACTGCAATGAATCGGAGGCACAGGTTCCAGACTTAAACTGACTTTAAACCTGGTTTTGAGCATAAAGAGCCAGCTGCTTAGTTCAGGTCTTGTATAATCCACTCAAATTTATGTGGCTAATCAGAAATCACATCATGGGTTTGCATTTAATGTCATAATGGCATACAGACAGGGCATCTTGTATACAAGGACTGTCTTTGGACACAGATATAGACTTCATTGGGTGTTGTCCAACTCCACAAGAGAATTATGAAAATCAAACACAAGGCTATAAATGTGAAAATGGCCTATGAAATTGCATGTCCCACCAGGAATGATACGGAGAAGCTGGTGAAACAAAAGCTTTTAGCCTGAGCCAATGTATATATTTAAGCACACTCTAAGGAGCTACTTATTATAAATCACATTTGTCTGTCCTTATACATACACACATATATATGTATATATATGTTGCATAGTAGAAACCTAGAACCACTTCATTGAGAATTATAGACTGACTCAGAGTTTAAAATGGTCCTCTGAATCAGACTAAAATGATGCTATTGGCATAAAGTTGGGCTCAGGCCTTCTATTTTAATGAGCAGCAGCATCTTGATTTCTTGGGCTGGTGATCTTCTCACCTGAATTTCCAACGGAGTGACTAATTTTAAGCAAGATATAAAAACATCTGCTAACCTGTCACCTTGAGGCAGAGGCATATGCTTACTTCCACCAGCCACCCATCCCATCTCTTTGGGCCTTTACTTCAAAATGTAAATCCCAATTTTCACCTAATTTTCAGTGTCACTTTGAAATGCAACTTTATCCTGACTAGAGTTTGTTCTTACCGTGGCACCTCTCCTGTGCCTGCCTGGAACAGTATCTTCTGAGCTGTGAAAACTGGTTTACTGTTTGCATATTAACCCAGCAGAGCTGACACAGCTGGGTGCTCTTCCTTATAAAACTTCCTCAACAGACTTGTTTTACTAACCTGCAGTCTGTTAAGGGTAGCAAGGTTAAATCAGCACCTCTTTGGTGACAGGGGTCACCAAACTTTACTTGCAGGCGGATGGCAACTCAGCTTGACTCTATTTCAGTTTCCAGAGCTGGAGTTGTGAGCAAAACAAAATGATCTTTCAACTTTCAAATCAATGAGGGCAGAGCAGTCATTAAAAGCTAGTATGTGCCAAGATCCATAATGAAATTTTGCAATCACTCATTTTCCAGAAGAAAAACAAGTTAGAGCAAAAGGTGCTTTTCCTGTTAATGCCTCATCCTTTCCCTAAGTAAAGTCTCAGGAGCCAGTGGATCTTGTCTGAGTGATAAAGGGGGCATTTGACGGGGGAGGAGAGGAGTGTTTAAAAAGCAACAACATCAGCAAGGGTTAGAGATCAGCTGGGGTAGCCATTCATGCCCTGCTAGTCATGGCAGCAGGAGCCCTCCCATGGACAGACCCCTGCTTCAGGAGCAGGGGTGGCTGTTGACTCCCAGGCAGAGCTGTGGGGAATTCCATTTCTTGTGTGAGTCCTCCATTCTCCTGAGCAGCACCTGGGTGCCTGCCAGCTCTTTATAAATGGTGAGGCAAAACAATGAGGGCGTTTACTTATTTAGACTTGCAGGAAGAGATTGTGAATTTAATCAAAACAGCTGCCAAAAGCTGGGATTCATGACCAGCCTGGCGCTCAAGCACATTCATTTCACTTGAACTGTGTGATTTCTATGGCATGCCTGTGCAATCACAACCCAACCATTCACCAGAGTGTCTACAGTGTTTGTTCAGGTAAGGGGTTTAGTATGTAAACACATCATCATGAGCTGGCACTTGCAGTACTGAAGCAGGTTTGCTATTTTCTTCCTTGACAGTGTTCATAGAATCATAGAATCATAGAATCATTAGGGTTACCCCTTGTCCTATCACTACAGTCTCTAATACAACACTCAAGTTGCTGCAGGCTTGGGAGCATGGAGTGTCCTCTGAAAATACTATGCTTCTCATAGTAGCTGAAGTGACTTAGCTATTTAATAAAGAAGAAATTAGATGACTCAAATACTGTCATTTTAGGACCTTAACTACAGTCTGCTGCAGCCAACAGAGAAACTGATGCTGTCCTAAGGAGCTCTGGGCCCATGTCTGATGGAGAGGGAACCCTGAGACCGCAGTAGTGGGTTGCTGCAGCCTCAGCCATAAAGGTGTATGAGCACCCAGCGTCTCTTGAGCTTTGTCACAATGAGGTTTGAACAGGGATAAAACTAACGCAGATTATAAAACTTTTGCCCATGTATTTATAGTTGCTTCATCTAATGCATTGATGAAGGAGCCTCTGAGTGCAAGGACAGCAGTAACTGGAACAAACAAACAGGGCATAAATGGGGTATTACTATACTCTTTTGAGCAGGCAAACTGCAACAAAGGTAGGTAAGGTCAAAACTGTCAGACTTGGTGCTTTCTGCTAGTTCAATAAATTAATCAGCCAAGGAAAGAAGAATGTGGGACTGCCATCCTTTACATGCTCCGCCCCTCCACTCAGATGGCTTTCTGTTCCCTGAAATGTTTGAAAACAAGCCAGTAAAGAGTGCTACAAATATTAAATGAGCCTGCTGCTCATAACTACTAAGGACGAAGGTTGGGTGAAATGCCCTGCCTGTTTTCCGACTCAGCCTGAGCTGCCGTGCAGCCCTGGAGTCACCATAAACGAGAGGTCAGCATCACTTTCACAAAGCCATAAAGAAAACATCTTGGGAAACATTAGGAACTAGTGCAAATCAGGATAGGTTTGCTCTTCAGCAAAACCTTGCTAGATATATCCAGATTTGTTTTTACAAATCCCTTACAATTATGGAAAAGAGTACTTTTACGTGCTTTGAACTATCCTATGTATCTGAAGTTTTGGTTTCCCTGAGTGTATTTATGTTTTCTCTCTGATTTATCTTGAGCAATAACTGTTAAGTAAAATGAGTCCAGCTGGGCAAAGTTGCCTAGTTTTATACATTCTTTTACAACCCTTATCAGGACTAACAAGAAGGGGTAAAATGTTGCAATCAAACAACCCACAGAGATACTGCCAGTCCTGACGCTGCCATCCTTTTTTTGCCTGTAATTTCAGTTTTTTATCACTACTGGGATTTATTGTGTCAGGTATTTAACAGGTTTCCCACGCAGCACAGCATGAAGGGCTGGAAATGCAGGCCCCGGCTAATTAAAAAGTCACCTTTTTTCCAGCCTGATCTGTTTTAATTCTGCAGAGGTGCCAGCGTATGTGTCTTTCATCACCTAACTGCAGAGGCAGATATACCACCACAGAGCCTGACCTCTGGATTTACCTTTCATTCTTACCTTTTTATTTCTTCTGCCTGTACCTCTTTGTGCTTTAGACATTGGCTTTCTGTGCGAAGCTTTCTTGGCAGCCACAGGTGGAGAGGTTTAAACTGAGTGCAACAGGGGTTTCTGTGAGGTCTTTGCAATAAAGAGGCAGCAAGTCTCTCTTTCAATGGTCTGTTTCTATTAGAGGTTGAGATGTATTTTTCAATTATTTTTTTGCAAGCAATTAATACAACTCTAAGCATGTATATTCTCACCATAAAAAGGCCCTAAAATGCTGTGGTTTTAGAGGCACTAGCATTATGCATTCTCAGGCTCACTGGTAAGGCAAGTAATCTGAGTTTGCATGGTTAATATCATTTTAGGCTTTTTCATGTTTGTTTAGGATTTGGGTTTGGGGGGGGGGTGTTATATTTTTACAGGGAAATAACCACAGGAATCCAAGTGCTGTGTCCAACAGCAATGCATTTCCTGGCTTTCCAATTTACCAAAACTACATTCCCAGTGAGAATTTTGCTTTTATTTGACCATTTATTTTAATCTGAGAATGAAGAGTGAGGGACATGTGCACTTCCCTTGCCTAAGCATGCTCCTCAGAGGATACCACTGACATGGCTCACAAGCCTGTAGTCCCTGTTGAGGTTTGTAGGTAGGAAGGATCTGCCCAGATCAGCATCACCTGAACTTCCTCTCTGTACATCTCATCACAGTTGGAGACAATTTTGTTTATACGCAATAATTTCCGTAGTGCACCAAGCCAAACTTGTCTGTCTAAAACATTATCTAATAACATTGTCTAGGTATCTGCAACTGTTATTCAAGCTACAAAATGTTTTCTTAATTCAAGTTCAGACCATACTCATCAAGAAAAGTCAGGTGAGGTTTTCCAGTATGGTGACATCTTCCTTTCCTCTTCTTATGTGATCAGGCATGCAACTTGCTTATTCCAGTTAACGTAGTCTTTAGAGAAAAATAAAATCCATATATGAAACCTAATAACACAGGTAGATCTGCAGGGATTAACAATATGAAGGAGAACATTGTCAAGCATATAATGATATTTTTTTGTATGTTTGCTACATCTAATGCTTTTAATTGCATTTTTCAGTTTAATTCTAGTAGCCAAAGGCTCAATGCACAAGGCAAATAAAAAGACAGGATAATTGGCATGCCCAAGTGCTCCTTTTCAACATAAATCAAGCAGACAGCAAATATGAGTCGAGCAAAGAGATCATTGTGTTGCAGTTTAATTCACACAAGATTATGCCAAAATTAATTTTACACTGAAGGACGGAAAAACAGACCTGGGAAATGCATTGAAAATGTCAGGAGGGACTGGAGCTACAGTATCCTCCCTTCCACATTAACATTTCACACAGAAGAGAAAGCTTGTAAGCAGACAGATCAGGGAGGAATAGGATCAGATAGAGCCATCTTGCTGGTGTACTTCTTCATTCCCTGCATTTGCCTGAAGATGCATTACTAAAAGATTATTTTGCAATTACGGGTGCAATTACTAGAAGGCTTTTGAAACAGAAAGATCTTCCTACAAACCCAACAGAAGCAACGGATTTTATTATCCATGCCCAGCTGTTTTGTTTTATAAGACATCAGCCCTGTGAGTACATGCAGAGGTGAACTATCACACTATTTCAGTTGGCACTACACAGCAGTTCGTATGTACACAAGGAGCTGCAAGGTAATGATTTTGACTCTAAGCCCTCTAGGGCTAAGATTATCTTTATGGGCTTAGACAAATACAGAAATACATTACCAGAGCTTTAGTTTTAAGTCCATCAGAGTTGCAAGGTGAAATAAGCAAAATGATAAGTACTTTTCCTTGAGTTTCAAGACAAGGTGAGTTTTCTCCTGTTTGATGTACAAGTTCAGCCAGAGTAAGTTCAGAACTGCTAACTTCCATTAAGCATAGTAATTCATTGTTTGAGTCCTATGCACCTTTTGTTTGAAGACAGAATAAATAGGTATTCCTACTTATCAACACTGCAGAGCTTACACAATTTCTCTTTGAGAAAGCTTGATTCTCTGGAGCTTTGCATGGCAGCAGCTGAAACACAGCTGGGCAAATTCCCTGCTAGTGTTATTTGAAATATTTCTATTAACTTTGTGAGAGTTTCACCCCTTTATCCCAGCACAGTCAACCCTACTGCATGTACGTTACATTCTGAGTTCCAAAAATTTGGCAGATCTTCACCAGGTTTTTTTAGGCATTTTTACTAACCATAAAGAAAGATGTCTGTATTTGGCTTCTCCACAGATTATCTGGCCACCTAACCTAAAAAAAAAACAACACTAAAGTGATCCTGTTGATCACATCTAGATTTGGAAAGCTACACTGCATTGAGTACAGTATTTCCAGGCTGTAAGCCATAAAGCAAGGCTGTTCCTGCTGCAGTTCACATGGCTTTTCCTACGAACTGGAATGAGGGCAGGACCACGTCCAATGCGTGGTCCAAAGACACTCACACATATTTCAAAACCCCAAAATCATCAGCTGTAAAAACAAAACATTTGTGGAAACTCCAGTCAGGGAGCAAGCTGCCAAAAGAAAATTATTCTTTGTGTATGCAGAGTTGTTTTTGCTCCGTGGCCTGGCCCAGGACAAGGACAGGTGAGTCCTAGTTCAAGGGAAACAGTGGGATCAGGCATCTGTTTGACAGTCCCTTTTCAGCACCAACAAGGCATTAATTTGACTTTGCTTTAATGTAACGTTACACCCTAACATTGCAGGGCTTGTTCCAATAGATTCCTTCTGGTATTACTGAAGACCAGCTCCTGAAGGGTATAATATTTCTCCCTGGCTCAATGATAATTCCATTAGCTGGGTAATTCTCCCAGCACAAACTGTGTCCTTGCATTAGTTCTGCAATCTCTGCGGGGATCGCTTATGCAGCTGGGTCTTAGTGCATTTGCCTGCTGATGTCTCAAGTGCAGTGTAAAGCATCTTTACATGCTTTTACATTTACTTTACAAACTTCAGTTCAGGTTGGCATTACCGTGAGCACTTCTCTACAGTCAAAACAGTGGTGTTATAAGGGATGAAACCAGATGTTTCATGTTTATCCAGTATCGGCGATTTCGTAACACTTAGCTTGCAAGTCATGACTAGATTATTTCAGCTGCCAACGGCACAGCCCAAGCATCAAGCTGTGTTCCCTCTACTCAATGCACTCAGCTCTGAACTGAGTAGCAGGAACGTTAAAATACCACAACTAGGAAGAAATTACTCAGAAATATATTTGAAATATGGAATATATATTTGAATTATATATTCAAAATATAGAATATATATTCAAAACCTGGATTTCACAAATAAGCAATACATACCATAAGAATGCTCCTTAGGGCACAGAAGTTCAGTCTCTGAAGCATTAAGCTCTGTACTGATGCACAAGTGAAGCGTGATGCTGACCACCAGCTGACCTTTGTGCCGATGCTGCCTCTGTCAGGATAAAGCACAGATCCCTCGGCAACTATACAGATTTGGCAGCATTAATACTGTTAGGTTAATTAATAGTGTCTTAAGCTGAAAACAGCCTAAGGCCTTTATATTTACTTGAACTGATGCTTCCCAGACCTGACATTTCTATTGAGAAGTATGTATCTTGTCCTCAATCACTCAACATTTACACCCTGCTCACTTTCTCTTACCTTTACAAGACTTTTGCACTCTGCTGTAACTGCTGAGACTCCACCAAAGAGCACAAATCAGGTGAGAAACTTTGGAAGCCAGGTTGGACATTATGCCTTCTACCTGCATGAATCTGAGGAAAAAAAAAAAAAAAGGAGAATACAACAGATTTTGAAAGACCTGCAAAGTCTACAGGTCAATGTAAATAACACTATGTAAAACCACGACAAACATACATCAAGCCAGGCTGTCAGAAACAGCAAAATAACCTGATGAGGATTTTGGAGAGCTACATGTTTACCAAAGAGTGAACAGCATTTGCTTGAAAAATATGTTCTTAGGATAAGAAACTTTAACATCAGGTGTCTTATAGGCAAAACAGATAACTGGTTCAACTACAGTAGTACTCTGAGGCTGAATGTCATCCAGAGTATTTAAACCACAACAAACAAAATTTTGCCAAGTGCACCAAACTATATGACTGTATGCTGGTAGGAATTACACAGACCGTGTGCAGCAATTCAAATGTTTGTATATTTAGACAGTAGTGCATTCATTCATATACCTCTGTATCTACGCAGGCATGGAGATTTTAAGTCTGAGCAGCAGCATGTGCCAGGATTATCTGATTAGTAGGCTTTTTTAAGTAATCTGTTTCTCCTAACATCCCTTCCCTGTGCAATAAAGCAGAGGTTTGTCAAGGCATCAATAATTCAGCCTTAAAAGTCAATTCTCACAAAGTGCTCTTCAGGCATGAATTCTTCATAATCCGCCCGTGGGGTAGTTGGGAGCTGAGATTTCTTTCACCTGATGGTTCCCTTGAAGACAGGGACACACTGTGGTAGAAAAGCTGAATAATTTGGCTAAAGTTAGAGAAAAATGCCAACAAAGAGCCCAGTGCAGCTTTCAGGAGCTCTGGGCTGGCAGGTCTCTCCCCAGACCACACAACTCCATCAGTCTGATGCAGTTTACTGCACATAACATAGAAAGAGGTAAATAATCAAGCATCGATTAATAAATGTATACTTGCTAAAGAAAACAGAAGTACTGTTTCCAGCCCTAAAAACTGCAATAACTTCAGAGCTCAGAAAAACTCAAAAGCAAAGGAAGGGAAGATCAGATGCTTTCTCTTCAGACCTTTGGGGACCTGGCAGCCTATTGCTGCAGGGAAGATGCAGTCATTCAGACTTCAGCCAGATCTAGCCATGAAATCATAAGGTCAGAGGGGTTTCGTTTTTTTTCTTTCCATGTACTCCATCATGAGCAGTGACAAGATCTGCTGGATTCTGGAGGCTCACCCCACAAGACATGTTACATCTGGACTGGTTCTAAGGAGGGGAATGAACAGAACCAATAACTCACAAACTTCTTTCTAGAGGGATGCAGGCAAGCACCAGCAGCTTAAATGTCAGACTGAAGACACAGCTCCCACCTGTTGCATGCTTGCAAGTCATGCCCTCATGGTACAGCATCATTAAAGTGCTTTGCTCACGAACAAGTCTCCAGATTTAAAACCGTTAGGTGGCTGCAAGGATCAGACACAGCCTGAGTCAGACAGACTGAAAACCAGGATAAAGAATGAGGAATGCAATTTACCCTTCAGACCCTTGTTCTGGTTTACAAAGTGCAAATGAAGCAGAAGTTACTGCTTTTTCCTACAAATCTTGCCTTAGGACCATTTATAAAAACCTGGAGATGTCCTGCATCACATTTTAGGAGTCATCATCCAGAGCTTCTGGCAGTCAGCTGGCTGGAGATAGTACCTCTCTTTGAAACAGAGACATTCAAAAGAAGGAAAGAGGTTGTTAAAACTTCTCTGATGTGCAACAGCTTACTTTCTGAGTAAGGCAATGATGCTTCTGTGAATTCAGTGCCTCTAACCTTCATAAGGATTCAGTGTTGAACAAAACTCATTCACTTTTGACACAAAAAAACTTAGAATACAAACCGACTTGTTGGATGGTTGCACCAAATCCTCGCAGCTCTTTTACCATCTGGCAGATTCAGGGTTATAATTCTCAAAGGAAACAGAATTGACCTGATTCCTGCAACACCAGTGTTGCTCTTGTTCTGTCTGCAATGCTGTTTGTGATGATGGGAATCAGGCTGGCATCAGAGGCATGTTTGGCAGAGATGGAGCACTGCTAATCTACAATGGGACCTGAATCTCGGCTCACATCTACATTGGTCCTGTTGAAAGGGGGGCCTGCTCCTACACAGCACACAATGGAAGCAGGAAAGTACGCACTTGCTTGGAGGAGAGAAGGGGATTCCTCTGTGTGCTTAACCAGATGAAGCATAAAAATCCACATAAGGAGCTGTGGCCCTGTGAATACTGGGACTTGACTGAGTTCTTTCAAAACAATAGGGTGCCTCATCTGCAGGCAGGAAGCAGTGCTTGAAAAGGGAGGTTTTACAAACAGTGCCCTCATATCTGGTTTCCTTCTTACCAAAACTTTCCTGCCTGCCAGCTTCTATCTCCTGCTGCTGTACCCCTCCTCCAGGCTCAGACCCCAGCCCTTGCCCTGCTCTGTGCATATTTACTACCTTGGTTAACTCAGGGATGTTGAATTCTTTGCGGGAAACTTCAAAGCACTCTACTGCATTGTCCTGCTAATGATTTGTAAGCATATTATCTGCAATCTCTGCCATCCCCATCCAGCTATTGTGCTCCCTGTGGAATGTGGCCATGTCACAATGCAAAACAAGCACAAGAAAATAAAACAGATTACTACTAAACCCACCAGTTTTCTAGAAACATAAGCAATTATACAACATACATTCTCATACAATAGGCTCATCTGCCATCAGGAACTTTCAGGATCTATCTTCTTTCCCATACCTGCACACATCAGTTTTCAGGAATATGTGTAATTCTTTCTCAAAGAATTTGATTCATTCTCAATGTGGACATAGGTGGCAAATCTGAGACTGCTAGAGGCACGGTTGGGGAGAGCTGCTGCGCATCTGCAGTTACATCCTTGAGTGATCCTGGAAAAAAATTCTGAGCAGAGGAAGAGGATATGACCATAAAAAACCAGGCCATATATGGAATATTTATAAGATATTTCTAACTTCCACCTTTCAATGTCTTGTAAAGACAACAAAATTACTGTTTAATAATAGGTTCCAGCTACAAAAAAGGGCTCTCTAAACAAGCATCCATTGCTTGTGGACAGTTCAGTTTAAACCAACACAAAATTGGAAACAGAAGTTCTTTCTTGTGGTGGTAAATGTGTTGGTAAATAAAGAAGACACATTGAAGAAAGTAAAATCTAGTTACATACAGAGCCAAGTGCTCTTTGGGTGTTGTTTCCAAACACATGTAGTGTGTTCTCTCCTCTTGGGCAATCCTGATGGAGGCAATCCTGATAACCCCTTGTCTGGATTTGTGACAGCAACTCATTGTCTTCTGCTATCCTGTAATTTAAATAAAATCTGTATATCAATCAGCAGTCAGCAGAACAGTAGCCCCGGCAAACATGGCAGGCTCTATACGAGTCTCACTGCTCAAATTAAGATTGCAGCTTCACACCCGATTCTCCTATTTCAGCTGATAACAGTGAGTTCAAAGGTCCCATGTTTCCTGTATTAAGAGCTAAGATGCAGTTTCAAAAGATCTCCCTAGTTAGAATTCACATCTACCTCACAATACTCACAGCTAAGCTATGAAGTGCATTTCCACAGCTCCACTTTCCGCCTCTCTGTCTAAAATACGTTACAAGAAAGAAGGATCTGTGTTTCTCTAAATAAGGTAAATGTCCTTTACACAGCCAGGCACTGACAGAGAGTAATGTCAGTGTAGTTTAAAGCTGGTTGGAGGCTATGGTAGAAGGAGCTAAATGACTGACCCATCCCCCCTTCATTCATTAAACTGGAGCTCAGGCCACAGCTTAGACGAAGGCTTCTCATGCTGCCCTGCACCACGCTGCCCCTTAAATATGTATCAACAAAACTCTCTGTGTTACCACACCATAAACCAGGCTTGGGAAATTAAGATTTATTTCAAACCTGGTTGAAAGGGGGCTGGGAGCTGTAAATCCATACTGCCATTGGGATAGTCGAAAGACCATCTCAGAGAAGCTGTTGGTAATGTTTCCCAAGCTGTCTCTGACCAACCCCTCACTTGGCCCTATGTGAGGCCTCCCAGAAGAAACTATGGCATGGACCCACTGCCCTAGTGTCTCAAAATGCTGCAGAAACAGAAAGTGGGTTCAACTGAGGCTTCATTTACACCTTCTTTTGCAGAGAACTACTGCTAAACATGAAACTGCTAGTAACAAAGAAAATGAAAGCAAAACCAAACATAAACTCTCTCAGGAGGAAATGAGTATTGTGTTTCTTATAAATAGTAGTTCTTTTCCAAAACTGCTGTTTCATAACAGGTAAGCTTTAGGCAATCCTTCCCACTAATCTGTTTGATAGATGAGTTTCGGCAGCCTGAAAATACTCTGTAAATATTTATAACAGCCATTCACTGAGTCTTCTTTTTTCTCAAAAGTATCAACTTATAAGAAACCAGAGCCTGGAGATGAGCCACATTCAACCTCTGTCCTGACAAAAAGACGCTGGAGTAGCTAAGGCTAATATGGATGAGCAGCTGGGCCCTTCTCATGGCCAGGGAAGGATTCTCCTCAACCTGGCACTAGTTTCCACCTCTCCTCACACTGCCCTGGACTTGCGTGGCTCTTCACTGTGCCAGTCCTCGCTGATAGCCCAGAATATAACTATCTGGCATTTTGCTGGATGAATGAGCCATACTGACTGATGAGCACCAGAGCTTATCCAAGGTAAACAACAAGCTCATGGGGCTAGGAGCAAGAAGGCAATGAGAAAAAAGTGGATTCTTTTTTTTTTGAGAACGGGTGAACACATCTAACACTGTACTACACGTCTCATAAGCATCAGTCACCATTTGTGCTTTGCATGTGTATGTGGGTATTATAACCTCTCTGACTATCACATCCTGCCAGTTGCACTCACAGCAACAACAGCTGGTTGAGAAAGAACAGTTATTTCTGTGATGCCATATCATGGCCTTCTGTTGTTTTTCTTTCAGAAAGCTGCATCTGCAACATTAAGGCCTGCTTTTTAAAATTAAGCCCTCAAGTCACTCTTTTGCATGTGACCACTCCATTTCAGTGCTACTGCCTGCCACTGGAATACTCCCTGTGCTAGGAATGGCTCTTTGCTGAGAGGTATGCACTTATCTAGTCGTATTTCTTCTCTAGGTGATGAAGGATCTAATTGTCCCAAATATATTACTGGACTTTATCGTTATAGAAGCCAAGGAAATCAGCTCACATGCCTCTGAAAGTCACAGAATGGAACATATTATTTTAAGCCAAGGCAAGCCCCAAGTAACTGTTTTAATTGAGTCAGTCGTGGAGGTAGTTTTACAATCTAACTGTGCTGAAGAACTATTTCACGGGCTGATTGCAGTCACCAATTATTTTTCAGGTGCCTCTTGGTGATAATTCTTCCTAGTTATAAAGAATTTTCTTTTGTATCTATTTTTTTCCACATAAACATTCCGTTGCAACATTTCCAATTCTTTGTTATCCCAAACACCACAAATCCTTAACCAGCTGAGCCAGCATGTATTCACAATCCAAAATTATCCGTGATACTAAAGAAGCGCAACATTTTACCCAGTCAGGTAGTATTGACACGCAACATATATTTCAAGCTGTGCTTCTCTCTCTCTATGTATGTCCATGTACCTTTAATAAGGACAAAAACATCCTCTACAGCCTTCTCCATGGCAATCCCATGTGTTGATTCTGCCAACACAAGTTTTTAACACTCATCAGTAAAAAGTTTTGAAATAGCTTTACTATTGCAAAACATTTTACAGGCAGGTCTGGATTCCTTTAATATCTGGGTTTATGTTTGAAGCTCCAGGACGTGCCTTTGCTGTATTTGTACTCTTTCTTCCTTCACTGTAAAATCTGATTTTTTTTTCTTTTCCTTATGATATCTAAGAAACTTTACAACCTCTAGGATCTGTGCTTTAAAAAAGGTCAATTATATCAAGATGATGTCATCATATGGACATTTTCTTTGGCAGAAGAACTGTTTTAAGTGTTTCCTCCCATCCTTTGCTGCCCTTATGCATTTTGCTGTTCTTTCAGCTGTGTCCCTCCCATGGTTTGTTGCCTCTGCTGTGAAACATCTCCCAGAACACCCAGAATCAACACAGATTTTTAAAGAAGTGGTTTCTACCTTCTGTGATCTGCTTTGCATTGTGGCCCCACTGACAGTTGTCCTGGTTAGCTCCAGCACAGCATGGGAAAGATCAGCTGGGCACTGCTGCTGCCCTGGCTGCAAAGGTCTGTTGATCAAACAAGCAAGTGCTCAGAGGGTCTAGGAGCTTCACAAGGCTTGCCTGGCTCCTCTGCACACACAGGGGCAGCAGGCATTTGCACAGCTTCCAGACCCTACCCACCACAGGACACCTGCATGCAACCTACATGCTACCTCTCATAGCCTCTCCTTCCCAGTGAATGACCTTCAATTTTGAAAGTAATTTTTTTTTCTGGTTCTATAATTGTGCCTATATAATGGTGAGGGCAGCATTTGAGGAGATTGTATTTCCACCTGTAGGAAGACCAAACAACTCTAAAAATCCACTTGGAAGCACCATCTGAAATTATGGTGATTCAGGGATTCCTGAATCCTGTGCATTCAAGTCTGAGGACACACCTGAGATAGAAGGAAAGAGCTTTCACAGAGGTGCTTTGAGTCTTATCCAAGTCTTGTCCTTCTAAGTGTTTACATCTTGCATTTTGCATTGCCTGAATAAACTTTCTAGTTAATAAATTACCTAACAACCCTGCGTGAACTGATACCATTGCTAATATTGTTGTGGTGTGCAGACAAGTAAGAGTAATGACCAAAGTTGAATACAAAAGTTGGGAATGCTTTGCTTGCTAAGATACAAAAAAGCCTCCAGGGTTTGCTTGGTGGACCACTCCTGTATTAACTCACATCTCAGTGCTAGCTAAAAATTAATGGGAAAAAACAAGTGTTGTGTGTTGCCCAGAACGAGATACTGGATTGCATATGCAATCACTGTCATTGTCACAGCTCTAAATCACTGTTGTTTCTTTTTTAAATGCCATGTTCTCCACAAAATATTTTACGTTAGTTATTTATTGTCAGGAATCTTTTCCAGCTTCCTTCCCAAGTAAATAAGGAAATCCTTCTTTGAAGAGGCTGAGGAAGTGTTTGTTATATGGCTTTTATTCTCAGACACTCAAGATCTTGTTTTGCAAACTGATGTCAGTTTGAGTTTAAACTGAAAAATTTGAGTGAGGAAAAGAGAAAACCTTAGCCCCAAGAGTAAATATGCTGCAGGTCGGTGAAGTACACTGCAGTTGACTTTTAGTTAAATATTGTTATCATTATAAATGTTTTTTCAGTTAAATGTTACACAACTTTGGAGTAGGAATGGTGAAACTAAAATGCATATTGACCCAAGGGACAGCTTTGCTTTCTATTCTTCCTCAAGCCTTTCTGTTTACTGAGTTTCAGAGCCATATAAAGCCCTGAAAACATCTTGTTGGGGGTATGGGGCTGATCCCCAGTATATAATGACCTGTTTTTCAGGACAGAGGACAAATGCCTTTGGTGGTCAGTGTCACTGAATATACAAACTGTGCACTGGAGACCCAGATACATAAAACTCCATTATAATGTTTGCATGACATTTATGAAATAGCTTCTATAACATAAAAACATGTGTATTTATAATCACCACCATGGCATCATTGGCATTTTCACTGAAGCCAATGTTTTCTTTCAGCTTTGCTTCAGCTAACTGATAAACCACCAATCTGCACAAGTAAATCAAGTTATACCAGTCCTACACTGAACTCACTCCTATGTGTTTCCAGCTCACCAGCCTCTGAAGTTTCCCTCTAATGTTCTGGACAGTCTTGCCTAGCTCTGATTAACCTTAACAGTCCCTGGGCTCTTGCAGCTGCCCTGAATTCACAGCTGTTAACCTGGAAAGAGCCACATTAGAGACAGTGCAGCTACTACAACACTGAAGGATTTCAAAGTTTTTCTCAAGTGCAAGTCACTACACCTTGCTCCCAGAAAGTCCTCCATGTCCTCCACTCAGGGCTAAATGGCTACAATATTCATGGCTACATTCTCTTCTTGTTCTTGCCTGGCTTTTATACTAACCATACAGCATGAAAGCCTGAGCAGATGAGTCTTTCTAGCTACTGGCATTAAGTCTTTATACAGGCGTAAAAGAAATGGTAGAAAAACCTGTGTGTCTTAAAAGAATTAATGTCTAGGCTGAAGTATGCAGCACTTCAGCAACCATCCAGGAGCCAGATTCACATGCCACATATCAGAGCAGTCCACAGTATTTGGGGTGTTGGCTGATGAGAAAATGAACATGAGCCAGCAGTGTGCGCTTGCAGCCCAGAAAGCCAACCGTATCCTGGGCTGCATCAAAAGGAGCGTGACCAGCAGGTCAAAGGAGGTGATCATGCCCCTCTACTCTGCTCTTGTGAGACCTCGCCTGGAGTATTGTGTGCAGTTCTGGTGTCCTCAACATAAAAAGGACATGGAACTGTTGGAACAAGTCCAGAGGAGGGCCACGAGGATGATCAGGGGACTGGAGCACCTCCCATATGAAGACAGGCTGAGAAAGTTGGGGCTGTTCAGCCTGGAGAAGAGAAGGCTGCGTGGAGACCTCATAGCAGCCTTCCAGTATCTGAAGGGGGCCTATAGGGATGCTGGGGAGGGACTCTTCATTAGGGACTGTAGTGATAGGACAAGAGGTAATGGGTTAAAACTTAAAACAGGGGAAGTTTAAGTTGGATATAAGGAGGAAATTCTTTCCTGTTAGGGTGGTGAGGCACTGGAATGGGTTGCCCAGGGAGGCTGTGAATGCTGCATCCCTGGCAGTGTTCAAGACCAGGTTGGACGAGGCTTTGGGTGATATGATTTAGCGTGAGGTGTTCCTGCCCATGGCAGGCGGCTTGGAACTAGATGATCTTAAGGTCCTTTCCAACCCTAACTATTCTATGATTCTATGATTTCCCAGTGTCTGTGTCAAGGCTAGTGCAAACAGAGACTGGTATATGCAGTATCATAGAATCATAGAATCAGCCAGGCTGGAAAAGACCTTTATGATCATCAAGTCCAACCATTACTCCAGGACTGCCAAGACCACCACTAAACCATGTCACTAAGGACCTCATCTACACTGTGTCTGAACACTTCCAAGGACAGTGATTCCACCACTTCCCTGGGCAGACTGTTCCAATGCCTGATCACCCTCTTGGTGAATAATTTTTTCCTAATATCCAATCTAAACCTCCTGTGGTGCAGCCTGAGGCCATTATCTCTTGTCCTATCACTTGTTACTTGGAAGAAGACATGGACCCTCACCTCACTACAACCTCTTTTCAGGTAGTTGAAGAGAGCAGTAAGGTCCCCCCCTGAGCCTTTTCTTCTCCAAACTAAACAATTCCAGTTCCCTCGGCCACTCATCATAAGGCTTATTATCACCTGATACCGAAATCACTCCCAAGAGCAAAGCAGCCACCAAGTAGTCCCCAAAACACCACAGGAGTAGGACACAGAGTGAATAAACCCAGAATATGTACACACAGCAATGGATGCTTTTGCTGCAGATGCTTAGACAACTAGATGCAAATACAAACAAACCTATGCCCCACTTTCATTAGTACAGTCTTATGATGGCTGTACTGGTATAAATACAAAAACAAATCCACGCATATAAATACGTTGTAGACCAAGCCAAACCAACACTGCAGGAAAGCAGATTCTGCTGGACAGGGCTGAGAATTTAACTTCACTCACTGTTTTTTTCAGTCACAAGAGAGAAAACAGTCCATCCGCTTAATGTAATACACATATGCAGTCCAATCTATTATACTCTTTTTTACTGGTTACAAGGACAGGGAAGGGGTTTCACATAGGTAAGTATCATCCCCAGCTACTTATCCCCATTTCTTTTGTACCAGAGCATTTTTCTGCCAGCTGGGAGAACTCATCTGAGTGGGAGCCCCAGCTGCAATGCTGAGAGCACAGAGGAGTACGAATGGCAGGTTCCCTCAGTGAGGAAGCAAAAATCTCACTTCAGTTCTCTATATACATCCTTGTTACTGATTTTAATCTGCCCCAGGAGGAAACTGCAGCCTAGACAAAAATAGACAGGTATGTGACAGATGCTTTACCATGAAGAAGCTTCCAAAAAAGTAATTTATTTGCATACATATCTGGCATACTAAAGAGAAATATTTGTCTTCTATTTTCACTGGAGGTTAAAAGCACTCACCTATGGTAAAGGTAACTGAATTTCATGCTCCAAGGCTTAAGCTGATAGCATAGCAGGGGGGTGCTATGTGCCAGGCACAACTCTTCCTCTTTCTGAAATGTTGCCGTGGCAGCTAGGTGAGTTATGGATTTCCTCCCAGATTCCCCCAGAGCTGTGTTTGCAATGAACTGTTTCAACATTATCACTTTGTTAATACAATATAGAGAAAGACTTAAAAGTGGCTGTAAACATCCCTTTCATTCTCTTAGCAAGGGGGCTTTAGCATCACCTAGTGCTTCACACAAGTCTAATCATGTAATACGGTAATAGCCACATGGCCAGGTCCCACCTTGAGATCTGCAACTGAAATGAGTTGCTTCTACCTTAGTGATCTCAAGGGACAGGCAGGAAAGTGTAGCCATATACGCCTAACAGTACACACACACACATATATATATAGATGGAAAGATGTATGTATGTTATTCTATTGATTTCAGCTGTTCCAAAATGAAAAGTTTAGAAACTTTTCTTCAATCAAAATCTTTCACTCTCACACAAATGGAAATTTTGAAAGGTGAGACTTTCCCCTGGAACTTAAATTCTGGGTTGCAGCGCTACAAGCAATAATGAAAACAATAACATGGAAACCATTTACATAAAAAAAAACACCACCACCCCCACCCCGAAATTCCCCCCAGAAAAAAAACATACATGACAAGGAATCTTGGACCAAGGCACCCAAGTGAAACTAACTGCATTGATTTGCTGAATAACATGTAGGTGTTCTGCTGGGATGTGTGTGGTGGCAATGCCTGCCATTTGGGTCAGTCAGTGAATGTCAGAAGAGCAGGCACCACGCACAGTACTGCAGCCCAAAGCTGGAGTTTTACCAAAACTCACAGAGAAGTTCAGTATCAGGAAGGTGATCTTTCCTTTTTTAAGCCACAGTCACTTAATAAACCAGATTGGTTGCTCAGGCCGGTGTAAAGCACAAGAGTTGAGTTTCCAGAGCTGCCAACAAATCTCAAACCAACGGTTTATGATTTTGTGAAGAGTTACAAACTGGGAGAAAACTGCTGCCACTGCTCCTGTTCTGCTCAAGAACTGGCTTTCTAAGTACCAACTTTACGTAGAAAGCTAAAGAAGTACTAATCCTCTTAAAAGTGACAAGTGCCCATAAAGGGCACTACTTTTGGAAGTACCACATATAACTGACAAGTAATGAAAAAGCTTAAAATACATACAATACATTACAGGCAGAAAGCTAAGTATTTTGTCAACTAAAAATGAGAGATCCAAAGTTGGATCTAGTGTGCTAATGCTACTGCATTAAAGGTGCATTTGGGGCCAGCTAGACCATTGCTGTTGTTTATGTAACATCATAGGAAAAAAGGGCGTTGCACTGATAAATAGATCCTCATTCTGATCCCATGACAGTATAAATCACAATTAAGTCATGAATTTGCAATAGTTTGCAACTGATAGTAAAGCATGAGGTCTGAATCTGGCATGTGGACCACAAAGGAATGAACATACTGCGAGAGCCAAGATATGATCTGTCCAGCACATGTGCAAAAATGAGGACCAATGTGCAAGGTTAACTCTGTGCTGGCTGGTGCAAACTATACTTTTTGTGCCTGCCTAGTTTGGAGGTTTCAGAGGATGAGACAGTTCATGACTCTTGCCCATGAAGCACAGCATGGCAGTGACCCATGCCTGCATTGGGAGGCTGGACTGGGCATGGACTTCATTTCAGGGAGGAGACCAGATACAGCCATCTCTTCCTGTGCTCTTACAGCAAAGTTTCATGGTAGGAACTGATGGCTGGAGTAGCAAAGCCCAAACCAACAGCAGCATTCAGGTGTCTTCTGGTGGGAATCGGGTACCTGAAGTTAGGCATTAGCTTGAGAAGAAAGACTGAAATGGTCGTAACGTCTTAGGTGACAAAAAGCTCAATCTGAGTCATGCTCCCTGCAGGTAGAAAACTACAGCCAGAAGGCACAGCCACAGGGCTGCTCTTCTTTCCAGAACAGCTAAATTCCCTCTCCACAACTATAACACTGCAAATACATGCTTTCATACCTGTGATAAAAACCACAACCCCCTTTGCTGCTCAGCAGAGAAATCGATGTCAAGAACTGCTACATACCAGAAAGTCAGCTCTGCTTTCTGTGACTTGGAAAATGAGTGCAGCCCTGCCATGCTGGGGCTGGCAGGGAATGACGGCCATGGTAATAACAGCCATCTGCACCACTGGAAGCAGTACACCTACAAACTCCGTCCTCCTCTGAAAACATCTTCATCACCCCCATCACTGAAGTCAGTGGGGAACGGGAACTAAGCACTTTTTCTAAGACACTCTCCCCTTAATTCTTATACATTTTCACAGCCATTACAGATTCCTACTAGTAGCACTGCTGGGGGAGAAGTGTGGCAGGTCCACTGCCAGGTGTGTCCTTGACATGACAAGTAGCAAAGGTCCTGAGTCCACAGGACAGATTAAGGTTTATCTCTAATTAAATCGTTCACCAAGTAAGCTTTAATAGGATGAAGGAGCCAGGAAGAATCAGAGGTTTTGCTGGGCAGATGCTTCAGTCTAGCGCTACACAAATGCACCGTGCTTGTTTTTGTTTAAATGGGTGCAAATGACACTCCTTCCCACAGGTGTCATGACCCTAGTTATAGCACAGTAAATTTTCATTAGAAACACTAATTTTACACTCTCAGAACTTTTGAAACAATTTCTTTTCAGTAGAAGTTTACACTTAACAGAGACAAGAATTGACTGTGGAGAAGTAAGCGAAGTACTGAAAGCAGCAAAGACTTTCAAGTGTAGTCAATTGTGAAAGCAGTTGGCGTTTCACTCTCATAGTATACTATGTTGGTGTGGAAACCCATAAACATTTTATCATTGTATAATGAGATTTTCAGATCTGAAAATTTCATAAAGAAATGTGACGTGATCATTTTTGGAAGAGACAGATATTAGTGTGTTTTTTTCCACGTTTTCCCAATTGAGCTTTTCAAAACTAACATCATTAATTTTGCCTTACAACACTTGCAATAACTGAGTTTAAATCCCATACATAAGGAATACCCTGGAGGATTTCAAATGATGGGTCAGAGGGATGTGAACCATACCTTGTAGACATCTACAAGCTGAGTACACGGGTCTTGAAAACATCTTTTATGAGTTTGTATGTTTACCCCCAAGAATAGTTCTCTTACAAGTCATAGGTTGGGGAGAAATGAGTGAAGAAGTTGGAAAAACAGAATAAAGTCCAACTCCTAAACGTGAACAACAGCACAGGTACTCTGTAACCTTGAGCTTCCTTTCGCTTTTGCTTCTATTCTCTTTGAAAGGAAACACTAAAAGAAGTTTCATTTCCTTCAAACAAGGTAGGACCTCCCTAAGCATCTGGAATGGAAATTCACACAAACTTTCTTCAGCAGGCAGGATCCTCAGGGATCAGTGTTGGGACCGGTCTTGTTCAACATCTTTAAAGGTGACATGGACAGTGGGATTGAGTGTGCCCTCAGCAAGTTTGCCGATGACACCAAGCTGTGTGGTTCGGTTGATACGCTGGAGGGAAGGAATGCCATCCAGAGGGACCTCCACATGCTTGTGAGGTGGGCTGATGCCAACCTCATGAGGTATAACCATGCCAAATGCAAGGTCCTGCACCTGGGTCAGAGCAATCCCAGGCACAGCTACAGGTTGGGCAGAGAAGAGATTCAGAGCAGCCCTGCGGAGAAGAACTTGGGGGTGTTGGTTGATGAGAAAATGAACATGAGCCGGCTTCAGTGTGCATTTGCAGCCCAGAAAGCCAACCGTATCCTGGGCTGCATCAAAAGGAGCATGACCAGCAGGTCAAAGGAGGTGATCCTGCCCCTCTACTCTGCTCTCGTGAGACCTCACCTGGAGTATTGTGTGCAGTTCTGGTGTCCTCAACATAAAAAGGACATGGAACTGTTGGAACAAGTCCAGAGAAGGGCCACGAGGATGATCAGGGGACTGGAGCACCTCCCATATGAAGACAGGCTGAGAAAGTTGGGGCTGTTCAGCCTGGAGAAGAGAAGGCTGCGTGGAGACCTCATCGCAGCCTTCCAGTATCTGAAGGGGGCCTATGGGGGTGCTGGAGAGGGACTCATCATTAGGCACTGTAGTGATAGGACAAGGGGTAATGGGTTAAAACTTAAACAGGGGAAGTTTAGATTGGATATAAGGAGGAAATTCTTTCCTGTTAGGGTGGTGAGGCACTGGAATGGGTTGCCCAGGGAGGTTGTGAATGCTCCATCCCTGGCAGTGTTCAAGACCAGGCTGGACGAGGCCTTGGGTGATATGGTTTAGTGTGAGGTGTTCCTGCCCATGGCAGGGGGCTTGGAACTTGGTGATCTTAAGGTCCATTCCAACCCTAACTATTCTATGATTCTGTGATTCTTCCTCCAAGTTAGTTACTGCCTTTTGACTCTTCACATGGCTCCCTCAGATGAAATTTATTTCTTAAGAATTTATGAACCATGATAAATAGAGTAGGATTTAGGATTTTTTGGGGGCTTTTTTTTTTGGGGGGGGGGGAAGTTTTTTGTTCTTCAGTGCACGTACTAAAATCTGTAGGAAACTCCTGTTCTGAAGTGGATGCAGAGAGCTCCTTTGCAATAAGTAAAAGTGAATAGCAGTCCCACTAGCCCTGTTTAGGAAGGCACTGGGATGCTACAGAACAGAAAGAGCACAAATTGCCACACTGGCTTTGCTGAGAAGTCCTTGGAGGAGATCATGAGCTCACTTTCAAGAAAACATTAATCTTCTCCATCTGACATGTGCTGGAATTACACAGATCTGAACTGTTTTGGCACACAGATTGAATGCTGAATAGAGCCAGCCAAACTGCCTGCTGCCATGTTAAACAGGGATTCAGGGATTGTTTTGCTACGTTATGATGGAAGAAAAACCAATTTTCCTGTAAATGGTTGAATACAGTGCATTACATCTTCTGAAGATGTCCTTAATAGTCAGGAGAAATGGAAACGTCTTTATTTTAATTTTCCCCTGTAATTATACTGAGAACTCCCACCTGCATCTTGGCACTCAGGTTATGGATGCTGGGCAGGAGCCAAAATTTCACACTGCCCTGCAGCAACAGCATAAAACTGAACTAACTCAAGTCTCTGCACTGGGATTTGAGATCCCAATTTTCCATGTCTACCCTGTCAGCAGACCACACTGATGCTACCTCTAAGTCATTTTAAAGCATCTGCAGATAATTATGAAGTTGCTTACGATCCACAGTCTGTGTGAGGTGAAGGTGTCAAAACCCCAGGGAAACTTAATAGACACATTCCAAATCACTCATGTGCCTTTGGAAAACAACTATCTGGATTCAACAGTTTGGAAAAAACAGTTTGCAAGGAGTCTCAGAGGTCTGAAAACCAACCAACCAAACCTAAGAGTGAGTTCATGATAGCGAAAGCCCAAAAGGTAGCTGGTGCCTGTCTGTCATACACCAGCTCTGCGGGAGAGACTGCAGCGTCAGACAACTCTGGGCCTCTGCGTACCTTAACCAGAGCCTTCATCTCCTAAAACATCCTATTTCCAGCATACCCTGGCGGCGACTGCTCAGAAAGCTTGCCCAGAAACGCCCTGCGACTTAACGGCTGAGAAGCCACAGTACCCCTCCCGGCGCGCAGGCAGCACCTCGCGGCTCCCAGCACCACCAGCGAACCCCCGCAGCCGGAGGAGCAGGCCGGGGCGGGGCGCGGCGCGGGGGGGCGGTTCTGATAGCTCCGTTCCGCCCCACGGGGCGGGGAGCGCGGCGGACGGCTTGCCCGGGCCGCGCTTCGCCGGGGGTTAGAGGCTGGTGGGCCCCTCAGTCTTCCTCCGCCCTGCCCCGTTCTCCGTTCCCCGCCGCCGCTCGGGAGCTTCAGGCGAGCGCTGCCTGGCCATGATGCTGCCCGCAGCCGGCCCCAACCCCGCGCAGACTTGCGCAGCCGTGCTCGTCGCCGCCGTGCTCCTGCAGTCCGTCTGTGTGGCCGTCACCTTCCTCTACTTCACCAACGAGCTCAAACAGGTCGGTGGGGACAGGCGACTGGGGGGGACTCCGCTCTCTCCCTTTACTGTCTGGTCAAGGAAAGGAAAGACACACAAAAGCGTGTCCCCGCTCTGTGCAGGAGCCGGCGCAGGGCCATGCAGCGCTCGGCCGTGGGATTGGAGCCGCCGGCAGCCTCCAAGTGTTTGTTCAGAGCAGAGCCCACAGACAAAGAGCTTCGCGCTGCGTGAGCCAGCTCTTTGTGCAGGCTTTCCTCGGGCCCGGGGGTGCACGCAGGGGAAGAACAGTTTAAAAGTTTTTGATTTTTAAGTAGCGCATTTTTGCAGGGAAGTAGCAAATGTGCCCTTTATCAGAGCGCCAAATCTGCTACGGCATCCCACTGTGCTGCAGAGACGTTGGTAGCGCTGGGAGGACAACAGCGGCCTCCATCAGATGCATATTCATGCGGGCAACAGGGACAAAACGACTAAGAAAAGCTGAGGTACCTTTTAAATGCCTTCTTTAGGAAAAATACATAGTTTTAAGTCAGTGACTAATCCCAAAGGAACTTGGTCCAAGCAGCATACACCACTGAATTCCTCAGAATGAGTTGTAGAGTGCCCGTTGTATAGTTTAGATGCCTCAGTCTCCTTGCAGCCATCCTTCAAGCCTGCTAACTACCACTTAACCCTTTCCTATTCCTGCAAAAGATCATTTGCATTCCCAGAAATCTGTATTTACTTTATAGCCCCATGAGCCTTTAATGTGCGTGCTCCTGCTTTTCGTTAACCCCTAGTCCTCAAGGTTTCCTTGAGTGTCTTGCCAAAAATTCACTGTCTTGCTGTGGTTTGTGTTGGAAGGGACCTTAAAGATCCTTTAGTTCCAACCCCGCCGTGTACTGTAGTTACACAACTTCAGAAAGTATCACACAAATGTAAAATATTATGTTACCTGTGAGTTTATTTATTTAATAGGTGCAGTTTTCTGTGATGTCGGAGTGCTCTGTGGAGCAAATGTTAAAGGGTATGCTGTACTCTACAATATGAGGCAATGCTCATACTTTGGAAATGTCCAAAATGGATTTTCCTGCTGAGTTTATAGCTGTGGCTGTCCCATATTTGGTGAAATGGGGGAGTCACAGAAATGTTTTGATTTTACAAAATCAGATTACATAATGGAGATTACTGCTAATGGAGAAAAATATATAAATGAACGAACTGTTGAGAGTGCATATGGTTCAAAGTCCTTTGCGTAACAAGCTTGCCAATCTTAAGTAATTGGTAACCACGGTTATCTTTACTTTCCTGGTATTCAAACACATACACCTGGGACACAACCACATCTCGTGATACTTGCCCAAAATACAGCTGGTTCTGAATAAGCCTGCATTTAGTGTGAAAGCTAAATCTGCCCCCCCCCCCCAAGTTCTGCCGGGCTACTATGGGCTACTAAGTAAGGTTGCTGGCTCTGGAGGGGGTACCTTAAGCACATACTCTCCTGACTGTGCCATCTGGTGCACGATGAACAAGGAAAAAGCTTATCTAGAAACAGTCTCCTACCCAAAACAACATGGTGCATTTGGAATAAACCTCAAAAGTCAAACTGCGATTTTTGTGTGGCCATTTTTCTTCCCTTTGTTGTTCACAATATTGGCATTCCTACACCTTCACCAAATTGCTGTGGCTGAAGAGACAGCAGATATTTTTATCTTTGCAAATAGAATAATGTAGAACTAGCAGGTATTTTTTCCTCATAGTAAGCTGGGTATAGCTACGAATATAACATTTGTTTAACCATTTTGCTTTGAGAGGAAGTGCTGAGACAACGAGCACAATAAAGTTCATTATGCTTCAGGATACAGGGCTGTAAGAAAAATACCCTTAGACTTCCTTCTGTTTTGAAAACGTAGCTCACACACTACTAGAATAGGATAGAAGGTTTACAAGATAGCATTCCTGCAAGACTTGCATCCTCAGACTTCAGTGGTACAGACAAACCCTCATTTGAATAAGTCTTACAATACCCTGATGCCTGGCTTTCTCTACCTGTACAACAGAAATACCAATCCTGCAGTACCACATGGTGCTGATACAAGGTTGCATTCATTCACGAAGGTTTCAAAATGCATGCAAAATACTGTTCCAGTGCCAGGATAGTAAGTCTGTTTTGTGGGAAAAGTATTCAGGCAAGAAGGCAGAGGTCCAGAACTGTTTGCTTCCAGATGGGAGGGCAAAGCTCAGAGGTGAGCTGTAGCAAATATGATAGGAAAATAAAAAGTAACATCTCAACTGCTCAAGTATGTTTGGGGTTTTTATAACTCTTCAAACTACTTTATTATAGAACTATAGTTAAATGTCAGAGCCCTTAGTTGTAAGTGCGGTTTTACCCTAAGAAGAACGTAATTTTAATCATCCTGAGTTCTTGAAACGAGAAAACTGATTTAAGAATATACTCAGCAAAGACAGAGAAACCTTCACAAACACTCTTCGTGGTGGCCTCATTTCACTCTGATGCCTACAGAATCATTTCAAGTAATAGATGAAGCTTGGAGGAATCTGCTGCAGCAAACCGAAGGTGCTGTTCAGCCACAAAGGACTTGCAGGGTAGTGTGGGTCAATTAACCTCATCCTTCTGGAGTGGGAAATCTCTCACTGAATGCCTTTGTTTTCTAACAGGCAGGAAAAGCATGGAGTGTGAAGGAGGAAGTGACTCCATTTGTTGCTTTCAATACCTCAGTCTCAAGGACAGCTGAAACTGGTACTTGCAGAATAAATGTACCTGTTTCGCAAACCAGACCAAATGCCTTTAACATGAGAAGAGTGAAATGTAAATGTTACAACCAGAAGTCCATCTAAATGCTTTGCATGCTTGTTGCCGATTGCTGTTCATTCCAAGCTCCTGTAGTGCAGTCCTGGCACAAGAAGCCTTACCAGTCTATAGCTGATGCAGCAGCTGTTGCTGGGTTCAAAGCAGACAGGAGCTGATCTCTGCTGGCTGCAGCGCTGGTTTTGTGCTTGTAGGTTAAACAGCGCCAGCTGGAGTTACATGTGAGGCTGCAGAGCTTGGAAAATGCTTCCTGCTATGATGCAAACTCTCCCAGTCAGATTCCCATGGAGTCAACATGTGTTTTGCACTCTTCAAACTGATTTATCAGAAAAGAATCTGTTTTGTCTGTGACTAGAGGATGTAGACATAGGCCCATATCACAAGTACTCAGTATTTTATTTGGACCCAGATGTCATTTCTGTTGTCTGGACTTTGTTCTGAACTATTAGATCAAATACAGTTTCGGAGATACCCCAAACTGGATATGGGGAGGATATGGTATGGATATGTAACAGCAAAAGCCTGGATTGTAAATGGCGTTGGCTAAAACATCAGAATAGAAAACACTTTTAAGGTCTGGTTTTCATCCTCAATAATTTGTGAAGAAAAATCCCTTGTGCAAATACATGTTTTCTAGAGCAACTAAAGAACTCACAACATTAGTGATTTGGATGTTGAAATTTCACAAAGCTTATTTAGATGTGCGCTGGATACCAGATTTATGTCCATGGAGATAATGTAAGTATGTTTTTGTGTATTAGATATGCTATCTAGTTAAATAATTATATAAAATCAAGATGAATTACTTGTGCTGTTTATATAGTCATAAGTTGCACCATACTAACAAATGCTTGAAAGAAAAAAAAGCATGTCCCTAAGGGTAATAAATTTAGTGACATACCACAGCTGAACACCTGCAGGCACATCACAGGTGAAAACTGCTGGCTTTCCCTTCTGCTGCAGCTCCAGGACACATACTCGAAGAGCAACGTTGCTTGTCTTACTGGGGAGGAAATCGGAGATTTCATCCAAAAGTTGGATCTAGTTGAAAGTGAAGACAAAGTGGCTGATCCCTGCTGGCAAGTAAAGTGGCACCTGGGAAAATTAATTAAAAAGGTATTTGGGAACCGAAGCACTGAAACTGTGTGCTTGGTGATACTGCAGTTCAAAGAAGCCTAATAGCAGAGTAAAGGTGGGAGGTCTTGGGTTGTTTTACTGCAGAGCAATTGTCAAGCCACAGCGTTCAGCTGCAGAGTGCTTGCACTGAAGCCAAAATGACCCGTGACGGTGGTTTCACTGCATTCAGGAGAACAAAACAAAGACAACATAAATTCACTACATAAATTTCAATGATAGGTTGGCTTGTCTGAAATACCTCAGAAGTGTTTGACTTGAGCTTGTTTCGTATCTGACCATACAGATCATAGTGCTAGCAGAGGTGTCAGTCCCTCTTTGGAAATACATGGAAACTGGCATGAGAAAATGAGATGAAATGTAACACAGGGAGAGGTAAAAAAGTGCTTGAGGAATGGTCTAGTCATGAGCTCTGTAATGGCGAAGAAAAAGCAAGCAAGCACACAGCATCAAGCACAGCACCTTCCCAGCTCAGCTTTCTGAGAACACCATCTCCTGCACTATTTACACATAATACATATAATTTTGGCTACAGAGAAAAAAATAAGACTGGCTGAAAAATCAAAAAGGCTAAAATCTTCTGTAGTGGTTTTCAAAATCCCATATCCAGCACATTAAAAACCTCATCCATAAAAATTTCAGTTTGTGGCTGAAACTTACCTAGCACATCTTGCAGACCAAAATAGGTCCTCTTATTATATTCAGAGATCTCGGCTCCTTCAGTGGAAATTCTATCAGTGATGTCCCTGAACTTTGCGTAAAGAAAACATTGTTTTGTTTGGTGAACATTTAGACATCTGGTATACCTACTTGCTCCCTGATGGCTTAAAAAAAGCCTGAGTGCCAGAAATCATAAATTATAATAATAGTTAATAATATGACAGCAAGGGAAGGTAAAGGAAAGGAGGGGAAGGGAAGGCAGAACCCATCAGTAAGTGGCAGTACAAGGCCCATGTTAGTCACCCAGATAAATCATGGCAGATAATCAGCATGCTTGCTGCAGCTACACCACTGTCTGTGATCAAACCAGTTTGGTTCAGCGGTCAGCAAACAGTCAGAAAAAAGAGTAACACACAAAGATATGCTGGCTTAAGACCTCACACAGGGGTATAAAAAGAAATGAAATTTTATTTCTCAGAGCTAAGATCACACAGAAGTGCACACTGCCACGTAGTCTACAAATGGAAGCTGGTGCTTGTACACTGCATCTCTTATCTGAGAAAAGCGTGATGGTCAAATTTTCCAATAGACTTAAAGTCCAGATGGCTGAGCTATCTTGAAAATGTTTTCCTATGTATTTCATTACATAAAAGATGTAAACATAGTAATACTTTATTGCAACAAATTAATAGGCCTTTTTTATTTGCTTGTTGATCAAATCCAGAATACCCCTTTGTTTATGAATTGAGATAGGAGTGTCTTTTTCCTGAACCCATCAGTTTCTGAACTAATTTGTTTTCGCTGTTTGTTGGCAGATGATGTCAAGGAGCTATGAGGAAAACATATCTTCAGTCAATGGTATTATTTTTATTATCTGTGGCAAAAAGTTGCAGCTTGTGGCACCTGATATGTAGTGACTCAATTTATAAAAAATGCAGAAAACACTGAAGATCGTGTACTGGCAGTGATGATTAGCGGTTAGAGCAAGGTAACCAAGGGGGATGCCGGAGGCTCAGCTTCTAGACGTCAGTCCCACAGTGTTATGGGACTGTTTAAACAGTCTGCTCTCCTGGAAACAATCAGCACTGGACTGCTGTACACATAGATCAGATAAGGAATAGCTTTGCTGAAGATTGTACAGCCCTAAACGTTGAGCAAAAGCATCACAACCTCCAAGTAGAAATTTGATGTAAAGATTATGAATGCTTAACCATTAAAAATGCTGATTGTGAATGTGAAAATTTGGTACTATGGGTTATTTTGTCTATCAGTAATTTTGGGGCTGGGGAGGAGCAAAAGGAGAACAAAGAGACATATAAAGACATTTCAAGGAGAGCAAGAGCAGAAGAGAAATTTGGGCCATATTAGTCAATGTACAGCATTCAGTGTATGATTTAGTCAATTGAAAAAATGACATACCTATTCCTTAAAATTGGGTCTAACGGGACAGGTGTTTTTTCTAAAATTCTTGCTTCTAACATGAGGTTCCTTTTCTCATCTTTCTGTAGCTGAAAGAGCCATGACACTGCCGCACAATGACAGGCAGCAGCCACTCAGCCCCATCAACAGGATTGCGGCACATCTGACAGGCAACAGCAATAGGAAGAGTTCCCTGTCACCACGCAGTAAGAAAAAACCTTTAAAAACAGTTAAAGATCACAGAAATTGCACTCTCATTGCGAGCCTCGTGCTTATATACCCTTTTTAGTACTTGCATTGAGTTAATAGTAAGAAACAGATCATTAAAGTCCTCTTGTCCCAGACAGTAGTTTTTTCAGCTAATTCTTGCAGAACAGGAGAAAGCCTGTTCTCTCTGGGTACCTCCCTAACCTTTCTTCTTGAACCTTCATTAGAGGGGAAAAAAATTATCCTTCTTCCTAATGTTAAGTTTTCCTTTTTTCTCTCCTTTAATTTCCTTCTGTTAGTTGTGTGAATCCCAGCTGCTATGGTGACAGACCTATTAGAAATGCGAGACAGAGACAGGAGGGACTTGACATTCAGGCCATATTAATGAAAGGCTTGGTAGGGTTTCTGCAGCTTTGGAGGGTATCAGACACAAATGGATCTTTTAACTTTGTTACTTAGTACCAACATAATGATTTTTCTTCTATTTGTGGGTCACAAAAATTATAAATAAAGGTAGTCCATGTGAGTTCCCACATAGAGCTAAACAGCTGGCTTCTGGACTTTCAGATTGTTTTGAGAATTGGCCTAAGGAACCACTGGGAAGAGCAGATTTCCCTAGTTTGTTATTAAAAACTAGCCACCTGAACTAGCAGACACCTGGCTTCACTATCTGGCATGTAATTTAACATTTTCTGTCTTTCTTTCTCAAGTAGATTCCGTGGCCAGAAAAGGGAGCGGACAAAAAATAAGCAACTGGGAATCATCAAGGAAAGGCCACTCTTTCCTTTACAACGTGGAGCTGAGAAATGGCGAGTTAGTAATACCCCAGACGGGCTTTTATTACATCTACTCACAAATTTATTTTCGTTTCCGTGAAAACGAGAATGAGGATTCAGATTTTTTGGCACAAATCAGGAATCCCAAGCAGCTCGTGCAATATGTTTACAAACTGACAAATTACCCAGAGCCCATTATGCTCATGAAAAGTGCGAGAACAAGCTGCTGGTCTAAAAAGGCGGAATATGGACTTTATTCCATCTACCAAGGTGGAGTGTTTCAGCTGAAAAAAGAAGACAGGATTTTTGTCTCTGTCAGTAATGGTGATATAGTTGACATGGACAAAGAAGCAAGTTTTTTTGGAGCCTTTCTGATTGGTTAAACGGTGAAAATCATGCTCTGAAGAAGCCATTTTTCTGTGTCAGGATCAGCTTAAAATTCTCTAAACCAGGGAATAATAAGCAAGCACTGTAGCAATACCAACAATACCAGACTCCCCTTTCTTAGCTCACTCATTGCAAAGTCTGAGCATGCCAAATACTCTCCCACCAGACAGGAAGGAGCAGCCGCAGGAGATGGTGCTGTTTTGGCAGGCTCCACTGCCTAGCCAGGCTGGGAACATGCAAGGATGTCACACCACAGATAATACCTTTGGCCAGAACCCCGGGCAGGTAGGTGCTCACCACCACCTCCGCAGAGGTGCTCCATGCCAGCTCAGTCACAGCAGGTGGGATGGAGGATGCTCCAGGTCTAGTTACTCAAGGGTGAGACTGGGCATCAAATTTTATTTGTGGTCTCTGTTGGGATACCATCTTGAATATCTCAGCTCTGGTAAGAAGCCTTTGTAAGTACTGCTTCCCAGATGCCTCTGTAATTACTCTGGAAGTTTTTGTTTGAATCTGAGTTTTACAAAAGTTGAAAGTCCATCAGAAATGCAAAGTGCACACCTTCATCTCATCTAACCACTTAAGCGCCTAATCAGTTTTAAGTACATGAGCAGTCGCGACTAAATCAGGGTATTTACATGCTTGAAATTAAATATGTGCTTAAGCAGTTTTCAGAATCATGGCTTGAGTAAACACATTAGCCTGTCTTAATCAGGATATTGTACATAAAACAAGCTGCTGAAATGGCACAGAAGAGGTTTTGAAATCAGTATTTTGATCAGCACATTACAATAGTGCCTATTTACTTAATTGCTGCGCTGCAAAGATTTCACCAGGCTTCCAATAGGTTCAGTAATGTACTTGCTGTTGCACTTGTTGACAGCAAGTACTTGATCCAGGAAAAAAAAGGTGTTTTTCTGTAAATATTGAATTTTATTAGACATTTGCCACAAATTAAGCATGACATGGTTCTTCCACATTTATTTGTACTGGCTTGTATTTGGTAATATGTAATGCAGTATAACACACCCTGATTACTAATATTTTGCCGAAAACAAACAGAACTATCTATACTTAAACAAGAGCTGCATATTTAGGTAACGCTCTTTTGATTTTATTTTATTTTTAGGAATGGGTGGAAAATTTTCATTTTTTTTTATAACCATTATTTTTTTAAGAAATGGCACTATTTTTTAACTCTATGAGTCAGAATATTTTATATAAAAAAATAAAGGAAAAAAAGATTTGCAAGTGTAAGCCGTGGACTAGGTGCACAGAAGTTAAGTAGCATAAATCAGCACATGCACGGCATTGCCAGTGAAGTGATACCACTTTGCATTTTGCCCAGACTCAGAGAAAACTGGGGAAAAAAAAAAGGTGAAAGTGTAAAAAAA